AAACTATGATCCAATATATAATGATTTTATACAATGTAGCCTTTTTTCTCCGCTACCCAAGGCGAGTGAGAAATAGTTTGTAAAAATGTTGAGCAAAAATTATTATTCAAAATTCCAGTTATTTTCTATTCATTCATTTCAACAAACATTTATTATTTTCCTAATGTGTACAACAAGCAGTTGACAAGTCAGCATAGAGATGACTTAGGGGCACTGCATGTTCCTTTAAATTAACACTGTCATGGTGATTTGTGAGGAAGTGGAAAGAGAAGAAAAATTTGGCAAGAAAGGGTTTGGGTCCTGTTGCAAAACCCTAACTGCAAACCAGATAAGATTATAGATGGACTAGAAACACCTGTTATTACATAAGGACGTTATTTAAAAGACAAAATGAGAAAGAGGAGACTTTAAGGATCTCCTCCCCTCTCACTCCCCGCCCCATAAAAGTAGCCAGAGGACAATGCAAATATAGTAAATATACACAAATATATGTAAAGGTAGTATCTTTCCTCTGCTTATTCCAAGTATAAAAAGGCACATAGCAAACTCATTTGTCTCTACCCAAATGAAGACAACTCTTAGAAATTATAGGATTGCTGGTATTGATAATAGCCTTTGAAAGTTGTAAATTTAAATTCCAAAGTACACTCACCCCCATATATTAGGTGGTAACAATTGTTAAGTCTTCCTCAGGTTGTCTCACTGATTCATCTTCTATTCCTTCCTTTCCAAGTATAGATGATCCGTCAAGGCTCTGTCTCTCGGCACTGTTTCTCTTTTTCTATAATTTCTACCTTGGGGTTCCTCTCTACTCCCAAGATCTCACAGAATTGCCAATCAGATGTGAAAGGGAACAACCCCCTACATGATCTGGAGCTAGAAAGCACCTCAAAAACCATCTAGTTAAATCCCTTCTTTTTGCAGGTAAGAAAACTGAGTCTCAGAGAGATTAAGCTTACTCAAGGTCACAAGGCAGCAAGCGTCAGAGATAAAAATGCTATTCATGTGTACAAAAGTCCCAAATCTATATATCCAGCCCTAATCTCTCCCCATTAATCTAGCCCTGGGCCCTAAAATACCTACTGTACATCAGCTATATGCCTGGATTGCTCACAGGCACCTTGAACCCAACATACCCCAAAACTGAGTTCATTATTTGCCCCTCCATCCAATTTCTGCATTTATATTGATTACATGGATTACATGTACATTTTGCCAGTTACCTAACTTTAAACCTATGCTATATCTTGGAGTTTTCTTCCTAATTCATCTGCTTCTACATGAAATCAATTGTCAAGTCCTATCAATTTGATTCCATAGTTTACATCTGTCCCATCTTTTCCACTCCATTGTTCCTGCCCTCATCTCCTCCTCCCCCAGGAAGATGACCTTGCAATTCATCTTCTTGTCTTCATTTCCTTCCCCCCTCCAATGTAATTTCTGCACAGCTCTCACATTCATTTTCTTAATGTACAGGTCCACCCATACCAGTGCTTACTCAAAAACCCCAAGGGGCTTCTTATTACCTATAGGGTACAAAGAACATGCAACCAGGCAAATGGGAGTCATTGAGAATGATCAAGTCAATTGAAATAGTAAGTATCATACTGCGTGCTGAGGACAAGGAGACAAAAGTCAAGAACTGCCAAGGGGATACAAATGCACAAGTAAATACAAAGACTATACGAAGTAGTATCAAGCAAGCACATATATGAAATCAACTGTGAATAAAGATAGGAGGGAGCCAGATCGTAAAAGACTTTAAATGCCAGACTGCATTTTAATCTAAAAGAAATAGGGAGCCATGGATTTGGGGGGGGCGAGTGATGTAGTCATATCTGCACTTTATCAGTTGGCATCTAGGAGGGAATAGATTGAAAAGGGGGGAGACTGGAGGGAGGAGAACCAATGTGTAGGCTCTTGCAATAAACCAAGTGATGTATATCCAATTGAGGGGAAGGCAGGAGAGTAGATAGAGGTGGGAGACAGGAAGATTGAACCCCTCCCCCCAAAAAAAGCCTTAGTAACTAAATGACTTTGGGAGTTAAGGAAGAGGCCAAGATGACTCAAAGTTTGGGAGTCTGAGTGCTTGAAAGGATGGTGGTGGCATCACCAATAGAAATGGGGATTCTGAAGGAGATATGGATTTTCAGGGGAAAATATAAGGAGTTTAGAAATCTTGAACAACTCAGCCCAATGGTTCTTTACAGCCATATTCCACCTTTCAAGCAGATACAAAGTCCTTAAAGTTGTACAGGGTCACTATTGGCCTTATTTTCTACAGAGGAAATAAATAGTTTAAGACCCTGAATAGTTTCTAGTCTTATTTAACTATAGCCCTACTTAAAACACTCTGTACTCTAGCAGAGCTGATTTCCTTTTCCTCTCTCTGGCCTCTGTATATTCTAACAGGCCATCCCTTGTTTGGAATATGATCTCTCCACATTTCTGCCAGTTGAAATCCTGTTCTTCCTTCCTGCCTTCCTCCCTTCCTTTCTTCCTGGCCTAGTTCAAATGACACCTCCTCCAGGAAGCCTCTCTTCAAAATTTGGAGAAATACGGCATTTTCATTTGCCATCATCACATCTTACCTTGCATCATATTCATTCATATCATATTTACATGTGATATATTTCCATATAAAATAAATATAATTTATATATATATATGTGCTTATATATTGTCACAACCCTGATCCCTCTCCCAATTATACTGTAATATCCTAAGAACTGAAGATACATAATTTTTCATCTTTGTATTTCTATCTCTTAGTGCAATGCATTATACATAGTTGGTGATTTAATGTTTATTGAATTGAATTGAACCAAAACACAGCATGACAAATTAGTTCCAAAGGAAAAAAGACCAAAGTCTATTATCACATTCAAAGAAACAACAATATCACAATGTTGGGTTTTTTTTGTTTACAATACCTAATGCAAAAATCTGTTCACTTCTTTCAATCAACCAACAAGAATTTACTAATTACCTACTATATGCCAGACACTGGCTCAGGATTTGGGCACCAATACAAAAAGCAAATAGTTCCTGGCCTTGAGAAGCTTACAACCTAGTAAAGAGAGAAGTATCTATTCACACATGCCTACATAGGGGGATTCATGAAGGAGGATTCTAAGATTCTAAGAAGTGAAAGTAAGGAGGGATTGCATTCCAGGCATGAGAGACAGCCAGAGCAAAGGCACAGAGGTGGTCATTTTTCAAAATGAGATAATAATAAAATGAGATGGCACTGTGTGTGTTTGTGTTTGTGTGTGTGTGTGATTTTCTGAATAATGAAATGTTACATGGGAGTAACTCTTCTATCATCTCTTTCAAAGAAAATTGGGAAAATACTTCCCTAGCTCTCCAAAGTAGGAGAAGGGGGGAGGGGGAGATGCGGTGCAAATCAGAATAATTTCTAAACTAAGTCTATCATGAAAATCTAGCAATTCAACAAAATAGATAACATAGAGAATTATTGCTAAGAGCACCAAGTAAATTATTAAAGAAACAAGTGTTTTAAAATTTGGTATAATGATCTGCATACATGCATACATACTGTCTTCTACTTTATCTTAAAATGAAACATTCAGACGTGATAATATTCATGAAAAGGTGCTTTTTTTCTAGTAAAGAAAAACTAAAGGTCAAGACAGAATGCTGACTACACAGCAAAAGAGAAGGAAAACTCACGTGTGTGGAAAAATCTAGATCTAGATTTCAAAAAGCCAGGCAGAAGTGACTGGTCATTAATTTACTTCAGGAGACAATGAGTTTCTCGATTTTAGATTCTCTATTACTTAATTATTTTGGTGGAAATTTCTGCAGAATTCGAGTTTAAGGGGGAGGAGGGTTTTCTTTTAAAAGGCAAGTGCATTTTAATAATAAAACAAGTTCACAAAATGTCCTCTGGAGGTTTTAAAGGTAGACGTGGAGCAAAAGCACCGGTGTGACGGTTGTGGGATTAAACCTTAGTTTACTAAGAGAACTCTTGCCTTCACCTTCATAGCTCACGTGGTCAGAGTAAACAGAAGGTGAGCAATAGTCAGTTTAAGGAGGAAATGGCTACTATTTCATAGTTTTGAGGACTTTAAAGCCCACATTTAAAAACTCTTTTCAGTTGAGTTGGGCGTGATGGGGAAGACTTTTGTTGAAAAGAAGTTAAAGTGAGGGGAAGCGAGAGGAGAGAGAGATAGAGAGAGGAGAGAAAGTAAGCATGTGTCCATGTAAATGAAGGAAGTGGATACCGAAAGGGGAGTGGAAGTCCTTAGTTAAAGAAAAAGTGCATTATTATTCCCTTTGACACATGCCTCCACCAATCCTCCCTCCCTTCCTCTCTCCTCCTCCTCCTGGCAGCTGGAGCGGGGCAGTACAGTATAAGAGTGAATTCTGTCTCGGCAACATCTATCACAGTGAAACTGCTGTGCAGCATAGCAGCAGCGGGAGAGTTTTACACACACACACACACACACACACACACACACACACACACACACACGCCATCCATGCCCATTATTTTTTCCTACTCCACTCCATAGCTTTAGGGCAGCCCTCTCCTGTACTTATTCGCCCTATTGTACAGCACCCAAAAATATTGCGAGTCTTTGTGTAGGAAGCCCCTCGGAGGGGAAGTGATTTACAGCGCCCAAGCCGGCCAGCAGAGACGCAGCGGGGCTGAGCGTTCCTTAGCAGCCGCGGCGGCTACAGAGGAGGAGGAGGAGAGGAGGAGAGGAGGAGAGGAGGAGGAGGAGGAGGAGGAGGAGGAGGAGGAGAAGGCAAGCGGTGATCAAGCAGAAGCTGCAGCAGCAGCAGCAGAGACAGAGGCAGACATGAGCAGCAGCAGCAGCACAGAAGGCAGCCTCAGCAGAGACAGCAGCAGCAGCATCTAGAGCGCGCTTAAAGGACCCGTTGCTTCGCATGCGAGTCACGTCGGCTCCCTCGGCGCTGCCGACCAGCAACACGGAGGCTTCATCAAGTGATGAGAACAGACGTCAAACTACCTTATGAATATTGATGCGGAGGCTAGGCTGCTTTCGTAGAGGAGCAGAAGGAAGCAAGATGGCTGCCCTTTAGGATTTGTTAGAAAGGAGCCCCGGCTGCATCTGCTGGATTTCTGCAAGGCTGAGGGGACAGAAAAAAAGAGGTCAGAGCGCTTCTCTTACTGCCGCGAAACTCTCCCTTTCCTCCTCCTCCTCCTCCTCCCCTCCGTGTCTGTCGGGCTTCTCCGGGGTGCTGGCGAGCAAAGCCTTCAGTGGCAGCCTCCAAATGTAAAGAGGGAAGAGGGAAGCTTCAGAATTTACTGAAGCCTCTTCAACATGGCTGACAAATAGAGTTTTACAAAAATTCCCCCCCAAAAAACCTGCCGTCCCGTGCCACCTCTCCCCCTCCTGCCTGCCTGTGTTGCCCCTCCTAGAAAACTAACTTACTGTCCTGTCTCCCAGGAGCAGGCTCCCCTGGCTTTTTTAGCTGCAGGAAAGTGTGAGTGTATGTGTGTATATGTATGTGTGTGTGTGTGTGTGTGTGTGTGTGTGTGTTTTCTTTCTTTTTCTTTGTTAATTTCCAAAAAAGAAAAAAAAA